AGAATAAGTAAATAAATAAAATATATCAAGAACTTTTAGTCACTTCCCATTTCTTAGAGTCTAAATCCGCCTTAAGAATAGCTCCAGCCTCGTTTCAACACATCCATTGGAACCCTTCTGTTATTACCCAGACTACTTGTGTTCCTGGCACACACCCCCGTGCTCCTGTGCCCACTCCCCTCATCCTGGAAGACGCAGCTGCAGGGGCTCTTGCTGCTATTCTCAGCCTGCCTTCTTCTCATCCCAGCTTCTCCCCCAACTCCTCCAGCAGATCTGGGCCCGCTTCCTAGTTCTCACAGCTGTAATCATTCTGCTTCTAACCAGAAGCCTCTGTAAGGGCAGGAGTCCCCCTCATCTCACCACACCACTGTCTCAGAGCACTATGGGCTCAGAAATTGTTTAAGTGGCGTTGACTGAAACCTGGAAATCTAACTTCTGGCGCATGCTTAAGAATAGGCTTGTAAAATCCAGGGCATTTTGTATTTCTTTCCAGGAAGTGCCTGTCTTTCCAGAGTTCCTACTGCCTTGTCCTTATGCTGAGCCTGCTGGCCTCCCATTTCTCAGTGAAGCCAGCCATGTTTTATTGGGAATTTCAGCACAACCGATCAATTTCCATGGCTAATGAGATGCGAGATACCTGCTTAGTTTTGTTCTTGGGTTTACTTTTTTAAGCATTTTCTCTTCCTGTGAACTGTGGCATAGGATATGTTTTGAGATACAAAATTTGTATTTTGGTCACCTGACTGTCAGACCTGAGGGAAAGGTAGTAAAACTGACCCACAGGCAGGCCTGCCTCTCTTGGAAGTGCACTTTTTAGCCCTCTGTGAACTGGGAGACAGCATGGTCTGTGGGGAGGGCTTGCTATGGGAGCTCTCGCCTGTCCTCCCCGGTTACTCATGGCAGGGCCCTTGGGCAGGCTCTGAAGCCTTTCGCAGCCTTAGTTGCCCACCTGTAAAATGATGTCTAGTAAATTGAGAACCGTTCACGTGATAAACTTTTAAAATAGTACATGGAACCCAGTAGGCTTTCAAAGGCTAATTTACCTCAGATCCTTTTACTGTCTCCAAACAACCTGCCTGTTTCCTCCCTCTCCGGGAAGACAGCTAAATTTGTGACTCTTATTAATCTCATACAACTGTCAGATTATACTAGACAAGGGAATTAGTAAATGTTGTTTCTGACAGTTCAAAAAAACTGAATTTCATGTGGGGATTTTAGTGGTGGCTGCTTGTGTCTATTCCAGTTATATGTCCTGAAACTGGGGAAATACCTGCGGTTGTGGGTGGGGTTGGGGGCCCACTGTGAGTTAGACCTGAGCTAAAACTCCATGGATCACCTGCCCTGCATCAGTCCTGTTCTGACTGGTGGGCCACAGTGACACTTTGGTTCTTTGGGAATTAGTGTCTTTGTGGAACGAGTGTTCTGTAATCCCCTAAAGTTTGATTACTTTTCCTTCTTCAATGCACAGTCATCCTGGAAAATGACTGCAGGTGAATCTGGGGAGTCTGGAAGACTGAGTAAGAAATGTAGTCCCCAGACCTCAAAACATCTGCAGAATGTGCCAGTATTTCTTAGGGTTAAGTGGAAAAGTTAAACCATAGATTGCTAACTGGCTATGCTGGTATAATTAATAAAAACATGAAACTAGTGCCTTGGCTGGTCAGAAGAGGGAGGTTACTGGGAAATCAAGAGAGTATAAGATTGGCATTGCAGCTAGCCTTAAGGTGCACATTTCAGTTGTACCTGCAGAGATTGTGGGGGCAAAGGGCCTAGGTGGAGGGGTGACTTTAAATGGGAGTAGCCCGGTCTACCTAGAACATGGGTTTCAGCTGTTACAGCCTAGGAAGTATGATGTCTTAGATAGAATCATCTCCTTTCATTCTCTAAATTTCATCTTTTGCCTAACATGTAAAAACTTACTTGTATGTCCTATGGCACTGGGATTATTGAAATCGGTGACTTCCAAGTATTTGGTTATGGTTGGGTGGAAATGATGATGCTAGTGCTGGTCAGTGGGTCATTTCCCCAAAAAGATCGTACATTCTGCAAAATGTAGTTCATACCTGACTTAATTCACAGTACTCATGTGGTATAGGTGTCATTCTGTCATTTGATAGATCTAAAGACTGAAACACCGAAAAGACTGAAGCTCAGAGAGGATCAGAGACTTGCCCAGGGCCCTGCCTGTCTTTTCATCACACCTCTATCTCCCTGTATTTTCTGTGGAACAAAGAATCCACCCAGTGAAGCAGTAGGCAGAGTTGGGGTCTAAACCCAAACTCCTTGTTTCCTGGTCTGTGTTTTTTCCGTTACTTCACCAAGTGCCTCCAAGTGCCTGGCATCGTCCACGTCCTCTCCTTCCATCTGGTCGTAGGTAGCTGAGACCCCATTAGACAGTCTGCTTGGAGTACAGGACTAGAATTCTGACATGTCTGTTTTCTCCCGGGCAGCTAGGAGTTTGTGTGTGAAAGCAGACGCTGCAGCTTCTCATGAAGTAAGTCCAGGGGCTCTTCCTGTGCAAAGAATTACTTTTGAGACAGAATCTTGCTCTGTCGCCAGGCCGGAGTGCAGTGGCACGATCTCTGCTCACTGGAACCTCCGCCTCCCAAGTTCAAGCAATTCTCTTGTCTCGGCCTCCCTAGTAGCTGGGACTACAGGCACGTGCTGCCATGCCCGGCTATTTTTTTGTGTGTTTATTAGAGACAGGGTTTCACCATGTTGGCCATGATGGTCTCGATCTCCTGACCTCGCACAGTGCTGGGATAACAGGCATGAGCCACCACACCTGGCCAAAGAAGTACTTTTGAGGCCAGGTGCTATTGAGAAGCTGGGACTCCTGAGGCCACTGCACCTGGCCTCAAACGTACTTATTTTGAAAGGACTTTGGGAAGCCAAGGCGGGAGGAACCACTTGAGCCCAGGAGTTGGAGGCTACGGTGAGCTATGGTTGCACCAGCACTCCGGCCTGGGTGACAGCGAGACCATAACTTGTAAAAATAATAATAACACGTTTGTTATCTGGGACAAATAGCTGTGCTCCCAGTTTTCCATTCTGTCATACCCACTGATGCTGGGTGTGATTCTGAGAATACTTCTTCCTGTCCAGAATTTGCCTCTCAACAAACAGCCACTGCTGCAGCATCTCCGGTCCAGCTCCTTCCTCAGAGCAGCTCCTCAGTGCAGGGGTCCCATCTCCCTCAACCACTCACAAACCTTGAGTTCTTTTTTTTTACCCTTTTTTCTTTCCCTTGATTCTCATAACCTGGACTTAGATTATAGTCTGTTTTGCAGACTTGATTTCTTTTTCCTTGAGTTGCCATAGTTACTAACTTTGTATATAAAATAATCATCATTCCTCCTCCTTTATTCTCCCACCAGAAATTTCATTGTTTTCTGATGTGGCCTTTGCAAATGGAATTGGATGGCTTTTTCATCTTTTCCTTTCTGGTCCTACCTCTAGTGCACATTTCTCACTCTCCTTTTTCTCTGTCTTTACGCTGGCATCTGGATTGACTTGGGCTTCGGATTGATGCTTCATTTTGCAGTGTTTTTACATAGAGGGCCCCTGCCCATGACCTAGATAGAGGATTATGAGAGGGGAAACAACTGATTTGAAAAGAACAAAAAACATCTGCCCTAAACTGGTTCTACCTGTATTACTTTGATTGTGAGTAACAGAAGCAAATAAATTACATAATTACAAGGGAAGTGAGGTCTATCCCATTGTGATCAAATACCTAAAGCTTTTGTTTTGAACATCCCATCATCTTGGCTGAACCTAGAACTCTCAGACCACTGGCTTTTGTAGACTGTGTGCCTGTTAATTTCAGGGCTGTTTGGGTTAGCAGAGTCTCACCCAGATCACTGGTTTTCTTTATAATAGAGTCAATGACTAGTAAAAGGAGCCCTTCACCAGAAGCTGTCTGAGGAAGTACAGTCACTTTTGGTAGGTTGGATACTCCATACTGGGGCCAGAGAGAGGACTTCTCTTCAGGTCCTGGCTCAGTTACAGTTGACCTTGTGACTGACTACCCAGAGCAAGCCAGCATGTTTGCAGGCCCAGCCTCTCCTCATCAGTAAGATAAAACATCTCCCTTCTTAGACTTAAGCTTCAGGGACAATTGTAGTCTTCGAATAACTTCCACGTAAAGGTTCACTGAACCGTCAGTTGCTTTATGAAGAATATTGAGATTTGCTTGGAGATGTTGGTCACCAGCTTTCCTGGAGTTTCAAGCCCACACAATTTAATTCTATCTTGTACATCTACTTCAGACTCCACTGTTCCAACAAGACTTCCTGTTTACACCTTTCTGGTGTTTTTGTCCTGTGTTCATCATCCATTCTATCTTTCAGCCTAGAATTACCTTCCTGCTCCCCCACTTATCTGTTGCCTGCCTTTTACAGGGTAAGTTCAGTCCTGCCCACTTTGACACGTGCTTCCAGATCTGGTGGCTCCTGACCCCCTTCTCTGTTTGTAGGAGTTGATCCTTATGCAGATGTACAGCTTTGATGGTTGCTGCTGTGGATACCTGTCATCTCTTTGAAACTAAACTTCATAGAGATGGGAGCATGTTATGTACCTAACCTGTGCTAGGCATATGTTGGGCTTGCGGAAGATATTGATGGATTGGAGTGTGCCTCTGAAATAAAGGAAATTGTAGTTCCGTTCTAGGTATACTTACAAGAATCCTTAAACAAGTCAGGAAAAAAGAGAGGGACGGTCTTTTGTTCAGTGTGGAGTAACAATGATACTAGAAACAGCAGACCCGTGACAGCCTTCTTGCCTGCTTTCCCTTGTCCCGTCTGCCCAGCAGTCCTGGGAGGGGTGGGTGGTGTGGCACTATCTGTGAGTAGTAAGGGACTCAGTGCCAGTTGTGCAGGTCCTCTGGGAGCAGTTGTTTGTCACCAGTGTCAACTCTCGAATACACTGCATCCTTTAGTTCAAAAGAAGCATGACTGTGTCCATCTCACTCAAGTTCCTTCCTGTCTTCTTTGATTTAGGGGAAAGGATCCTGGGTTATGCTGAGGAGCCCTGCTATCTCTGGTTTGTCATGGAGTTCTGTGAAGGTGGAGACCTGAATCAGTATGTCTTGTCCCGGAGGCCAGACCCAGCCACCAACAAAAGTTTCATGCTACAGCTCACAAGCGCCATTGCCTTCTTGCACAAAAACCATATTGTGCACAGGGACCTAAAGCCGGACAACATCCTCATCACAGAGCGGTCTGGCACCCCCATCCTCAAGGTGGCCGACTTTGGACTAAGCAAGGTCTGCGCTGGTCTGGCACCCCGAGGCAAAGAGGGCAATCAAGACAACAAAAATGTGAATGTGAATAAGTACTGGCTGTCCTCAGCCTGCGGCTCAGACTTCTACATGGCTCCTGAAGTCTGGGAGGGACACTACACAGCCAAGGCGGACATCTTCGCCCTGGGCATTATCATCTGGGCAATGATAGAAAGAATCACTTTTATTGACTCTGAGACCAAGAAGGAGCTCCTGGGGACCTACATTAAACAGGGGACTGAGATCGTCCCTGTTGGTGAGGCGCTGCTAGAAAACCCAAAGATGGAGTTGCACATCCCCCAGAAACGCAGGACTTCCATGTCTGAGGGGATCAAGCAGCTCTTGAAAGATATGTTAGCTGCTAACCCACAGGACCGGCCTGATGCCTTTGAACTTGAAACCAGAATGGACCAGGTCACATGTGCTGCTTAAAATTCAGGGCTAAGCATTTTGGGTGATTTTAAACAAGGTGAGTGCTCTTTGTTGTTGTTTTTTGTTTTTTGAAGACATGATCTCTCTCTGTTGCCCAGGCTGGAGCGCAGTGGCACAATCTCAGCTCACTGCAACCTCTGCCTTCCGGATTCAAATGATTCTCGTGCCTCAGCCACCTGGGTAGCTGGGATTACAGGTGTGCGCCATCATGCCCAGCTAATTTTTATATTTTTAGTAGAGACGGGTTTCACCTTGCTGGCCAGGTTGGTCTCGAACTTCTGACCTCAAGTAATCTGCCAGTCTCAGCTTCCCAAAGTGCTGGAATTACAAGTGTGAGCTACCATGCCCAGCCTCTCTTTATGTTCTGTGTGCACACTTCCTGGACTAGGTTCTTCATCCTGGACCCCGGGGTAGGCCCTGTGGAGTTGCGGGGGGAATACAAGTTTAAAGAAAACCAAGTGCTGCTTATCAAAGATCAGCCCTCCCTGCCCATATCTCGATGAGGAGAAATGTGAAATTATCTGAGTGCAAGTTGGAAAGCTTAAAGAAGTCTTCTGAGATTGCATTTAAGCTGTATCTCCTTTTTTTTTAGAAATGCTTTTTCTCATCATTATAAATGCTCACAGTAGAAAAGGTGCACAAGAGGTAGACAGTTTTTCAGAGAATAAACACTGTGTCTAATTGTAGTATCCCACCTACTCACACATCTCGTTCTACCTAGTTTAGATCTTGCTCTAGTCGGTCGAGGTCTTTTTCTTTTTACTCATTACAAATTGGAGCATTCCTCCATGTCACACTTTAAAAGTATGGTTTTCAGTGACTGTGTGACATTCCCATTATATGTGCCATAATTTAACCATTCTCCTCTAGAAAACAGATTTTTTCCGTTTTAGATACTATAAAGAATGTGTTAGTGAATACTTATATAGAAATCTTTGCTTATTTAAAAAATTTATTGTGAGCTTTCCTTTGTCAAGTATAGTCATGCTCCGTATGAACAACATTTTGGTCAAGAAGGAATGGCATGTGTCACGTGGTCCCATGGGATTATAATGGAACTGAAAAATTCCTGTTACCTAGTGATGTAGCTGTGGTAATGTTATAGTGCATATTGTGGCACAGTGTGTTACCTTTTCTGTGTTTAGACACACAGAAACTTCCCATAGTGTTACAGCTGCCTATAGTATTCAGTACAGAAGCATGCTGTACAGAATTGTAGCCCAGGAACAGTGGACCATACATGTCATCTCAGTGTATAGCAGGCTACACCACCTAGGTTTGTGTGAGTACACTTGACATTATACAGCAGTCTCCTAATGACTCATTTCTCAGAAATCAAGCAGCCCATGATTAAGCGACCCATGACTGTACTGTGCTAGGCTCTGGGGTGACATGATGAACAAAATCAGAAACTTTCCCCATCTTCATGAATTCTGCACCTTAATTAGGGAGAGAAACTCCAAGTTGAACTTGGTTTCATGTGTAGTATGTATTTTCAATTGGTGGTATTTCTGTACTGAGTCACTAGGACATTCTTCGAATCATAATTGTATAGTTGTTTAAAGTGAAGAGGGAGTCGGAGAAATTGGCCTTTCAGGTATTGATGCACAGAGTCAAGAGGAGGGAATTGTGGGTGAGGGAACATCCCAGACATACGGACTAACCTCTGCAAAGGACCTGAAACCAGAGGGAACCTGGCACATTTGAGAGAGTAGACCAATTTGGGTTAATGAGAAACGTAGAGATGTGGAAATGAGAGAGGACAGGGAACAGTGTAGACAGAAATTGAGCTGGAAAACCCAAAGGTGTATTTATAGGAACAGCAGGATAGTTCAGTTGGACTGAAGTTTGATATGTGTGTAAGAGAAATAAGATGAAAAAATTGACTGGCATATATGCTAGGTAGTTTCTTATGTACCATTTTGTTTCACCTTTACAATCTTGCAAAGGATTAAGTAACTTACCCCAGATCCTCCTAAGTTAAGGATGGTTATATCTTATTCAAGCATCCCTACCCCATCCCCTTCTCCCTTAATATCAAAAGCTGGAAGTAAGCTGCTCTTATATTGTGCTGAAGCCTTGATGAGGTGATGGAGTCAGTGCTGATCTTAGTCGTCACAAGGAGCCTCAGAGCCGTAAGGCACGGAGCTTTCCCTCACTTGGGTGAGTTCCCTTCCTTTCCCCTCATTATCCTCTGGTTTCTAGGTGGAGTCGGCTCATACAAAGTTGAGCTTGGTTTCTTGTATAGTGTTCTCAGTGAATGTATTTCTGGAGCCAGTCACTTAGGTTGAATTCTTTCATTCCACAAACGTGTATTCCAGGTGCTGGGCCAATTGGTCCTACCACCCACTGGGTAGGAGTACAGCATTCCCCAAAGCTAAATTTAGCGTAAGGCTATATTAGAAGCCAAAAGGGTCGGCTAGACAGTGTTTTAAATGTATTTTGTGCTGTCACTTCCCATTTCCACCTCATTCTTTCTGCTTTTGAAAGATCTCTTAAAATTCAGATTTGCTCTGGCGGAGGAAGATTGTCATTAGAAGAGGGACCTGCATTTGGTTTAGGATTATGGGGCTGTCATAACTAATTGAGATCAGGGCTTCCATTTGGATATCCACACTTGAGATTTGTGCTGTTTTTCAGGGCAAAGTTTTGGTTAAACAGGAGTGATTCCTTCATCTAGGAAAAACAGGTGACCTTGAGAGGAGGAGAAAAGATTAGGAATATGGTTACTTGTGAGCGTCCCAGGCTGTGTTGTTAATTCATTTTGCAGCCTTTTCAGCTAATCTTTACAGTACTGGTGGTGCCAATTTGACTGTAGCCTATCCTGCCCTGTCTTAGATGGGCACTTAGAACTGTGGGCCTGGGCCCAGGTCTGTGACTAGAACCAAACCCTGTGTTGCCAGAAGCTTCAAATCAGTTGTGTGGATGAGTGGATGAGCCATATCTAGCTGGTCAGAGACCCTGAGGCTTGCTTGAGTTGGGAAGAACATTGAGTCCGACCTGCCTTTCACCTGCCAAGTTTTGTAGATGGACAAGCTAATTTCATTTATTTGTTCAACATGTTCTTTGGAAACTATTTCCAAGTACCATTTTAGACACGGATAATATATCAGTGAACAAAACAGACACATTTTTGCAGTGTGGAGCTTAACGTTCTGTTGGGAAGACAGGCAGTAACCATAGGTAATGTACAAGAAAGTGCCCAGTGCTGGATGCGGGAAGAGGGTAGGGTGGGAAGAGTGTAGAGCAGGGTAGGGGAGATCTGAAGGTTAGGAGGCAGGGAGGAGTGGGGTTGCACTTTTAAATAAAAGAGGTCAGAGTGGGTCTCCCAGAGACAGTGACCTTTGACTAAACGTAAGGAGGAGTTTGAGGGAGAGAGTCCCAAGGATTTCTGGGGAAAGAGCATCTCAGGCAGAGCTAATGGCCACTGTGAAGGTCCTGAAAGTTGGCTAGAGTGAACAAGGGATGTATAGGAAGAGATAGATAACTAGGAGCCGAGGAGAGTAGACCCCATAAGCCTCTGTGGAGATTTTGGCTTGTGTTTTTGGATGTGGTGGAAAGCCATGGGTATGTTTTCAACTGTCTGGTAGCTGCACTTTTGAAAAGATCACTTTGCATCTTGAAATAAACAGTGGGGGATAAGATGGGAGACTGTCGTTGTAATCCAGGTGAGAGATGATGATGGCTTGAAACAATGCAGCAGAGAAGTGATTATTGGATTTTGGGTGTTTTTTGAAGTCAGAGCCAGCAGGATTTCCAGCTAGATCATATGTGAGGTATGAGAGAAAGGAATTAAGCATCACTCCAAGGTTTCAGCCTAAGTGATTGGAAGAATAGAGTTGCCATGAAATAAGATGGGGAAGTCATTGGGAGGAATAGGTTTGGCAGGAGAAAGTTAGGTTTTAGTTATCTGAAAGTTTGGTGTGCCCGTTTAGAATCCAGCTACAGATGTAGAGTAGGCAGTTGGATGAGTCTGGAGTTCAAGGGAGGAGTCCAGCCTAGAGATACAAATGTATTGATTGCCACAGTCCTGGAGTGGGTGTAGACAAGAGGTCAGAGGACCGAGCTCCAGGTGGTGCAACGCTGAGGGTGGGAAGAAAGAAAGGAGCCAGAGACGGGAAAGGACAGCAAGATGAGGGGGGAGCCTGCTGTGGCATCATATGCTAGTTGATCGAGTGAGAGGAATTGGCCATTGGATTTGGTAAATGGGAAAGCGTCAGTATTCATGAACAACTGTGGTGGAGTAATGGGGGAACCTGTAACTAGGGTGGATTTGATAGGAGAGGAATTGGAGACAGTGACGGAATACATCAGGGGTTCTCAAAGTTTTTGGTCTGAAAGCCTCTTTGTGTTCTTGAATTTATGGACTCCAAAGAGCTTTTGTTTTGGGGTATACCTGTGAATGTTTGTAATATTGAAAATTAAAATAGGCCAGGTGTGGTGGCTCATGCCTTGTAATCCTAGCACTTTGGGAAGCCGAGGGCGGGCAGATCGTTTGAGCTCAGGAGTTTGGAACCAACCTGGGCAACATGGTGAAACTTGGTCTCTGCTAAAAATACAAAAATTAGCTAGATGTGGTGGCATGTGCCATAGGTTTAGTACTCGGGAGGCTGAGGCCCAGGAATCGCTTGAACCAGGGAGGCAGAGGTTGCAGTGAACCAAGATCACACCACTGCCCTCTAGCCTGGTGACAGAGAGGGACCCTGTCTTTAGAGGAAAAACAAACAAAAAAAAACCCCTCTAGTTGCATCAGTAAACACACTTAACCCCTATACCACCATGATGAAAAAACACCTCGGTGTTTTAGGATTGTAGATTTCAGAGTCATTTTTAAGTCAGGGTCAACTAGTTTTAGTTTTTTGCAAAAACAAAAGGAAATGCACTTGGGGTTGGAAACCTGGGATTCCTCTGAAAGAAGTGTTGTCTAGTGACAGTGCAGGGATTGAGTCTCATTTCTGTGTTTTCCTGACTGTGTGGCCTTAGGCAAATTATTCCACCTATCAGGGCCTCAATTTTATTATCTAGAAATGGAGTTGA